GAGTGCATCAGAACAACAAATTGTCATGAAAATCAACAACTGTTTTATGAATTTTGTAGTTTTATATTCATACTTATATTTAAAAAATAAATAAAAATAAAATGGAAATGTCCTTTTATTCTGGTGTGTGCAAGGAACTTCCAAGTCAAATTGTAAAATAGCTGTCACAATTGGATAGTTACTGTTGAATAACCAACTAAGAGGAGAACTTGCATTGATTGTTTAGTATCCTTAAAATGATTTCAATTAGATATCCTGTTAAATGTCTTTTTGGCTATTGCGGTTGATAACCTGGCAGATGCTGAAAGTCTGAACACAGCTCAGAAAGAAGAAGCTGAAGAAAAGGAGAGAAAAAAGAGTGCCAGGTACAAAGAAAATCACACAAAAATTATGCCCATTTTTGTAGTTTTCTTCATTTTCTCTTTTCACTCTTTTCTTTTCTCTTTTGAAAGAGAAAATTTGGATAAGTATAAGTAGGATAGAAAACTGGTGCAAAGTACACTGTATATCCAAGGAATTTATTATTATATTATTTAGAAAAAATATAGGCATAGAAAATGTCTTGCTCCATTCTTTGAAAGAATTTCTAACAAAATTCATCCATATGTGCAAATCTCCAGGGTTTGAATGGTTGTAAAAAACGAGGCACAAACTACAAATAATGTTGCTGCAATTATGTGTTCAGAGATGATGGACACGGTGAGACTATATCTGCTGAATATAACTCTGCATTGGCGACAAGAAGGGTGTCCGGCCAGTAATCATCAGATCTATTCAGTTGCCCAGACTCCACCTTCCAAGGGATTATGGGGTCATTAAAAGATGATGATTAATATAAGATACGTTTGCCACCTTGAGTTGTTTATAAAAATAATGAAGGTGGGATATAAATAAAGGAGAAAATGTAATCTTCTATTCATGACAATAAAGTCTGCATTTGCCTTCACTCTCTATATCGTTTGGTGCACCATATTAATGGTGTGATTGTTATCATGAACTGTATACACATAGTAAAATAGGAAGAGGCATTATTTTATATACTATAATAGTTATTAGTACATCCCTGAATGTTTTACTGCACACCCATCTAAGAAATAATAATGGTGAAACTATCCTAAATTATGCAGGATTATTTAACATAATGCAAAATAAAACAAGGCTGTAGATAAAATTTCATTCTGTCTCTATTTTGCTTCTGCTGTAAATATTATTTTTCCAGTTTTATTACAATCATTAATTGACGATGATTCTGGATCTTTTATCATTTTCCCCATGGTTTTGTTTTTATGGTCCTTGTAGAAAAGAGAGTTTGGATGCTAAAAAGGGGGACAAACCAGAGGGTGAATCAAAGAAGGCCAAGGATACTAAGGTACATAAGATCTGCTGCTCCTTTATAGGGAAGCTCTTCCGCTCAGGAATACACAGATACCCATCTAATCCTAACAATAAGCATTGACTCATGCTTATTGGATCACCTTCAGATAAGTCTAGAGGGTAGAATGGATATATGTCACAGCTGGCCCTAATTTCTTCTTAATGCATATTTCAATGAAGATTTGATTCCCATTTACATCCTGACTTTATAGCAACAAGGGTCCTTGGTGGTCTCCAAGCTTTCAAGTAATGATCTGCCAGATGTTCACAAGAATATCTTAACAATAATTAAGTGAAAGGGTTTGGTTTGGAAAAAAATTACCAACTGTTTGAGTTAACGATAGAGATATTAGATTATCTATTTCACATAGTATAGATTCTGTGAGACACTCTGGATTAATATTAATTTCATTCATTTACTTATTCAGGCAGAATTCTTGATTAAAAAAATTATAACATTTGGGCATTTCCAAATGAAAGAAACACAGATGCCGAAGTGGCCTGAAATTAGCAAGCTGTACCAGTTTACTCTGCTACTTTCTTCTTTTTGAAATGTTTACTTTTCTGTTACTTGAGGTTATAATCAATGAATATGGAGAAGAACAAGAAGAAGACAAAGATCCGTATCCACCTTGTGATATCCCAGGTACCAGCTCACTTTTACACACTGGCAGAAAGACCTATTGTGTCAAATGTGCCGTAATGCAAAAAAACTCCAATTTCCTTAACACAGTTTTTTTTTAAAAAAGTTTTGCATCAAATATATAACAGTGCTGAATTATAAGATTGTGTAATTTGAATTGTAAATCTAATGTGTACACCACACCCACATACAAACATATAAATATTATCCTGAGGCTTTGCATTGTCACTCTATGAAATCTAAACAGTGTCCATTAGAATGGTGCAATTATTTCCCTCCTCCATTATGGTCCCATACTATTCTGAAGCTGACTTTTAAAAAAGCCTTTTTGGAGGCTGGAGAAATTAAAAAGGGTCTGAAGATATTCTAGCGCTAGTAATCCTTGGTTTACATAATCTTTATAAGCAATCTAATATCTTCTGCATACCTTTAAATTGGATTAAAAAAATATACAGCCACAAATACCATCGGAGGGTTTCCTGAAATAATTTCTTCTTCCCCATAGCAAGACCCTTCTTCCTGTTGGATTCAGAAACAAAAGCCAATGACTAAAATATATTTCTGGCTTTTTCTAGCCTTAATTATAGAAGAAAAACATAATATAAGAGCTAGAGTTGCAATGGCAACTGCAGAGGATTTACCAATGGTTAGGAGCCATTATATCACCTTTTTACAACTTAATAGTTTTACCAATGAATAGATTTCAAATTGTCATTTAGACCGGCAAGATATTTAAAATACATTACCATTCCTAAACTCCAAAGAGTGCTGATATTAGCATGTTTCAGTGCCTTCCTAACAGCTATTTTAAGGGCAAATATAAAAGTTCCTGATGAGCTAAGATTGTGCCCTTGTGAAAAAGAACCCACTGAATCTATTATCTGGCACTTCTATTTCTTAACCCCATGCTTGGTGAGGTTCCCAATCAGTTCTGATTGATTTCAGGTATAGTTGCTCCTGTCAGACCAATATGATTCAATTTCTCCGAATATAGAAAATTCTCTGAAATTGTTTATACATTGTTTTCATGACTTTGATGATATAGATGGATTTTTTTTTATCTTACTTGAAATTGTTCAATTTCTTTCTTGACCTGTTGAATCCAGGTCAGTTACTTTAATAAAGAATTAAATAATTTTAAACTCGGAACAAGAAAGGTAGCCGAAAAGCACTGCTTTCAGACAGAAGCTATAGAGAAGCTATAGACCTAATTTCACATTTTTTCAGCATGACAGTGTAATTATAGCAGTTAGACTTATATACCGCTTCATAGAGCTTTCAGCCCTCTCTAAGCGGTTTACAGAGTCAGCATATTGCCNAACCAAGATAATAATTGGACAAAAATGCCAAATCAAGTCTAAACATTTGGTTGACTGAGCAATCAACAACAACAACCATAATAAATAAACATGTGTTGCTAATGTAGCAATGAAGAGATCTGCATCATTTTGTAGTGAGGAACCACAAGCTAGAGATAATAGGAAAGCTTTTTTTAGTAATAATTTGTATTAAGCCTGCTTTCTCCTTAAAATCATAAGAAATTAGACCATAGCAATTTGGGGGTGGTTTTTTTTTCATCAGCATTATTTTGGAAGCCCTTTTGGGTTAGAGAGAGAAGGGCTCGCAAAAACCTACATATAGATGATAGGTTGTCACCTTCATAGCTCAACTTAGCCAAATTCTACTGAACTTTTATTGTAGATTAATATCATTTTAATCATAGTCTAATGCACAAGTAGATAAACTTTTCTTCCATAAAGTGAAAAAATCCTGCCCTATCTTTGCCTCTATGGCCATGGCAGGCAGACTGCAGGCCAAAGAGTGCAATGGCCATTGGACAGATTTGGTCTGCTAGCAAGGAGACTACTGATATGCTGCTGCTGCTGCCATCCAGGATGCCCCTGCCACAACTATATCTTTTGACTAGGAGCTTTGCTGAGCCTTAGGTCTGGCAGAGAATGGGTGATCCCCTACTCTTCCCATTCTTAATTTGTACAAAAGCAGGCAGTGTGGCAGTCTTGGATCAAAAGCTGTTGTTTGGTGACTAGTGGTCTTGTCTAGTCAAGTAGTCTGGGAGTCGACATTTTTTATGAGTGCCAAAAAGATTTCTTTGGTCTAGTACGATATTTTTTACTGAGTCAGAATCTGTACCAGGGGAAATATATTCTTATATTCATGGGCCAGATTCTTGTTTTACAAGGAGCAGTTCCCGTTAACTTGCAGAGCTCTTCTTTATGAACCATCCTGATCAGTTCTGTCCTTTGGCTCTATTTAGATGGTTGTTGCCCAAGTAGACTGTAACTTTAGGAACTGTACATATTGATGTCAAATCTTTGGTTGCTAAAATCATGTCCATATTGAAAGTTAATATTCAATACTTTGCAAGAAGAAAATGTAACTATACAATATAATGGCCTGAATGCCTGTGCTATTATTTCATGCATTGGTTATTCATCTTAATTTGGGATTTTTGTCTAAAGAGGGAGAAATAGAAAAATTTCATTGCTCATATTAGATGTAAGACATGAGACTGAAACTCATTTAATTTCTTGAATATTTCCTCCCTCAGATATTGCAAACAAAGTCCTTCTGGCTTTATTCACCTGCGAAATGTTAATAAAAATGTACAGTCTTGGGCTGCAGTCTTACTTTGTGTCCCTTTTTAATCGTTTTGACTGCTTTGTGGTCTGTGGCGGCATTGTTGAAACCATCCTGGTGGAGCTGCAAATTATGTCCCCTCTCGGAATTTCAGTGTTCCGCTGTGTCCGTCTCCTCCGTATTTTTAAAGTCACCAGGTAAGAGAAACTTATTCTTACTTTTCTTGGTGCTGAGTTTTACTGACCCTTGTATGACCCGCTGCTCTTTTGTAATATTTCATCATGCACTGTTCTTTTACGGTTTTTTTTTCTGTTAACACACACATTTTAATTTGTAGGCACTGGACATCCCTGAGCAACTTGGTAGCATCCTTGTTAAACTCAATGAAGTCCATTGCTTCACTGTTGCTTCTGCTTTTCCTCTTCATCATAATCTTCTCATTGCTTGGAATGCAGCTGTTTGGAGGCAAATTTAATTTTGATGAAACTCAAACAAAACGGAGCACCTTCGATAATTTCCCACAAGCCCTTTTAACTGTATTCCAGGTAACTTTATTCACCCACTATAAAACATTTTTTTAAAAATCTGTGAACAACAACACTGTCTAAGTAATCCTGTCTCCTAAAATAAAAATAAAAGTCACTTATCACAACGATAGTTCCTTCTGTTTATGTTAAATAGCATTTTGCTCATTAAAAGTCAATCTTTGGTAATTTTTGCATCATTTTGTACCATTTGTTCATATCATGTATTCAATCTCTCTATGCAGCATAGCTTTTATGTTAACATCATTAATATTAAGTTGTCTTTGTTCATCCAAATACAGCTAACAAAACAGTTATTAATTGCAAAATTCTTCCATAATGGTTAATTACTTTTTACAATTGTTTATGTTGTGCACATTTTACCAATCTGTACCTTGGTAAGTTACTCCTATTTATGATCCAGAACTTGAGCTTAAGCATTCTTTTTTTTTTTCATACGAAACAAGGTTGCTTAATTTCTTTGCTTTGAGTAAAATCTAGGCCTGTCCATTTTTGTCTACAATGTTCCACAAGCGTAAGTCCACTCACTTCTTGTTTTCTCCCCTAAATTCATATATGTACATTAGTATCTTCATTGACATCCTGTTTAGTATTATAGATAAGGGCCTGGTTTGAGGAGTTTCAGACCTTATTTGATTCCAAAATTCATTAGATGACTTCAGGCCAGTAATTCTTAGCCCATTGTGGCCCGTCAGCAGCCAGCAGAGCTGGAAGCAGATTCGGACAGTGAGGAGGTTGGAGAGGAACATGGCCAGTCCTGGAGTCTGGGGAAGGCTCTGATGAGGGATCTATGTCAGAGGCAGAGAGCGGGTCAAAGCCGTATGCCACTTATCAGCTGCCTTCAGAGTCAGACATCAGTGAGGAAGACAAACAGCTAGAGCCTGTTCCCAGTGTGCGCATGCACAGAGTTGCTAGATGAAGGGAACAGCTAAAGAACAGGGGTCGACTTGGAAGGAAGGCCACAGGTGGACAATAAATGGCCCCTCCCATAGGAAATAAAAGAGGAGCAAAAGGGAAGGGGAGTTTGCAGGAGACAATTAGTTTGCTTAATCGGTTCGTGACTCTCCAAGACTCCTTGCCAGGTTTTGCAGATATCGGCCTGTCAGCTCCCCAAGCCAGATACGGTCTGTGACTGTAATCCTCCCTTGAAAGACTTTGCTGGATGTGAATGAGCAGAATTCACAGTAATTTAATAAAAGGGGTTTTTGTCGGGGCAAGAAGTTGCTTCATGCTTCATGCTCTTGGGAAGCCTAGAACATAGCCTAACCTACTTCAAAGGATTGTCACTACATAGATAAAATCAGTGGAAACCCCCATGCTTATTACTTCAGCTTCCACAGACAAAGCAAACCATAACAAGAAAAAATGTTATGACTTATTGGAGAAAACAAGTAAAAATTATCATACCGAATCTAAACTGAACATTTGAAAACAATATTTTGTTAATTTTCCTAACCAATTTTGAAGGACCAATGCTTTAGAATTCAAGATCGTGAGCTCTTTTTGTAGCCTTCTTATTACAATAAAAATATTGTATAAAGGTTCCTAATACGCTCAGTTTAATCAGTACATTCACAGTTTTATTTAATGGACTAACTTATGGTGGTGATGGGTGCACTGTTGGGAGACCTGAAAGAACAAGTTAGGAATGGAAGATCTACCTAGATGGTTGCTATGAATTGAAAACAATTTGATAGCACATAACCAAATTTAATGTGCCATTATTTTAATCCAATTTAAAAATTAGCTTTCTTGCCAAGGGAAATTGCTTTGGGACGTAATGATAATGGAGACTCTCACATTTCAGCTCTTCACAATGAAAGGATTAGAAACTTCATCATTATATTTAGCCGGATGGATAATTGTTAGTCTTGTTAGTCTGTTAGTCACTGGAGCAAGATAACTCCAAACTTTAATTTAATTAGATGACTTACTTAAAGAAACCATACTGTAGTTAAAATCAGCCACAATTCAGGATTCAACTTGACTTTTGCAAATCAGTGCCGCACTATGAAAAGTGATGGCTATGCGTCCATCCTGGTTCTCCTTGACCTCTCAGCGGCTTTCGATACCATCGACCATGGTATCCTTCTGCGACG